TGCCTCAACCATCCAGATGAGGCTATACTGGTGTAGGACATGCTCCCACACACTGACCAGCAAGCCAAGCTAGTTGCGTGAATGGAGAGAGGGGAGAGAATTCTGCACCTATTGCAAGGGTGATGGAGTTGACATTGTACCGTGTGCTCCTCTGGAGGGATTCTGGATGACTCAGCAATAATTCCTCTTGATGCTCGTGGTGCAGGTTGGCCATCTCTGCATTGACAGTTTGCAATATGCCCCTGGCTTTCAAAGCTATTTGCAATAGGTGCATCTGAATTTCCCACACAAAATGTGCATGTGTCTGTACAAAACAAACAGCCCCAGCTACCTATGTTGTATATGTACCTGTGTGTTTTGAATGTGAAACCTTTTTGAAAATTTAACTGGTCAAAGCAATTTGATACTTACAAATGTTCAAATGTTTTTATTTTCCAGACTGACCGCTCTACTAACATATAGAATAATAACACAAGAATTCCTCAACTGGGGGAGCAGCAGAGGCAGTGTTAAGCATAAGAAATACTCCTTGTCCTGGGTGCTTCTAATTCAGGATGCAGTGGGAAGCAAAGAGTGGGAAGCAAAGGAGCCAGATACCAAATAAATGATGCAAGGTTTGTTTGTATTTAATTTTCAATTTATAAACCTGGTTACAAAATAGACTAACCCTCATAGTCTTTACTTATCCCTGATCCAACTCTTATTAAAGTCAATGGGAGTGTTTCATTTGACTCCAGAAAGAGTTGCCTTTGACCAAAGTTTTGTAATTTTGTATCATAGCACAGATAAATCCTGTCTATACTTGCTCATAATAAAATGTCCTCTGGGTTTTACTTTCCCTGCTACTAACAGCCTCATGTTGAGGCAAATAGCCCTCTGTCCAAGGAGGGCTAGATGCAGCATTTTGGTGTCCATCTACAGTACACCGTCCCTGAATCCAAGACAAAAGTCACTTTCAAGAGTTGCAAAGCATAGCCCCCATCCCCTACTGCCCCAAAGGAAATAATTATACTAGACCATGGCTCTCAACCTGTCCAGACTACCATACCTCTTTCAGGAGTCTGATTTGTCTTGCATACCCCAAGTTTCACCTCACCTAATAACTACTTGCTTACAAAATCAGACCTAAAAATACAAAAGTATCACAGCACACTAGTACTGAAAAATTGGTTATGTTCTCATTTTTACCATTCAATTATAAAATACATCAAATGGAATATAAATATTGTACTTCAGTGTACAGTATATAGAGCAGTATAAACAAGCTATTGTCTGTATAAAACTTTAGTTTGTACTGACTTCACTAGTGCTTTTTACCTAGCCTGTTGTAAAACTAGGCAAATATTTAGATGAGTTGATGTACCTCCTGGAAGACTTTTGGTACCTCAGAGGTATGCATTCCCCTGGTTGACAATCACTGTACTAGACTCTAATTCTAATGATGCATATTCTATCATTCTGCCTTAGTCACCATTTGGAGCTCATGACTGTGGGTCAGTGTGGCATTTGGAAGATATCTGTATCTGTGGTGCATTATAAAGAGTTGGTGCAGATTTTGCATGATATTTTTTTTTTTCTGCTGTGGGAGTCAAGTTGTTTCTTGGCATTTTAAAGATGATGTGATACATGAAGGGGGGGAGGAGAGGAGTAGCTCCCTTTGATGGACACCCAGCCAGCCAGGTAGCTGTAAAATCCCTCTTGGTCTGTCCTTTGCTTGTTAACCCTTTACAGGCAGGGCCGGCTCCAGGCACCAGCTGAGCAAGCTCGTGCTTGGGGTGGCAGATTCTACGGGGTGGCATTCCGCCCAATCCTACGGTGGCACGGCTGCTTTTTGTTTGTTTGTTTTGTTCGCCGATCCGGCCGCCCTGTAGGGGGCAGTGGCACGGAGGAGGGGAGCTCCCTGCTGGGAGCGGGCTGCATGCTCCGTCTGCCCCAGCCAAGGGGGCAGCCTGCGTCCTTCCCTCCCCTCCGACTGGAGCGGCGCGGAGCCCTCCCGGCAGGCAGCGCAGCGGTCGGGGCCGCATGGCAAGCGCCCCGCTGAAGCCCTGGCCGCCCCCCTTCTCTCTCTCCCCCTGCTCCCTCCCTCTCCCCCCCAGTAGCCGGGGCGCGCACTCCGCTGCCTGGGGCACGTCTGCAGCGCAGGGAGTCCCCCTGCGCCCTGGCTCCGTCCGCACTGCAGGTTTTTTTTTTTTTCCTGTTTTGCCGCTCCGGCCGCGCCGCAGGGTTGTTTTTTTTTTTTTTTTTAATTTTCTTTTATTTATTTATTTTTGCATTGCCGTTCTGGCCACCCCGATTTTTAAAAATTTTTTTTGCTTGGGGCGGCAAAAAAGCCAGAGCCGGCCCTGTTTACAGGTAAAGCAAGCAGAGAACAGACCAAGAAGGATTTTGATGCACTCTCCTGGGAAGGTTTCCCAGAATCAGCCAGGTAAAAATGTTCTTTAAGTCATTGTAGTCCTTGAAGAACTAAACGGTACTTTTTACATTTCATGTAATTATTAGTAAAATTAGAGGTGCATGTATCTTATTAACTGTTTCCTAAACCTCCAGGAAGAAATCCCAGCTGGTGTGGACCTGACCTGAACCAGGCTGGCCAGCACCATCTGTGATTTGGGGGGCATGTGATACATGAAGGGGGAGGAGTAGCTCCCTCCCCCTTCATGTATCACAGATGTTTACCCAGGATATTTTATAAAGGAGTGATGGTAGGCTGTTTTATTCATATTTCTGATTCTTCTGAATTGCTCCTTAGTTCTGTTTTACTGACATAACATTTAAATATATATATTTTATATATATAATTATGTGGAGCTGCTGGGGTGCCTTGAGCTGTAAGTGTCAGGGCCATAAAGAGTCTGTCTGACCCAATGGTGAGAGCCTCGGGTGGGTCAAGGTCACAGTTGTGAATCATGCCAAAGTTTAAAGTCCGAGTTCGAGCCACACCAAGGATTAAGCCGGTGTTGGAGTCAGAACTCATGCCCAGGGTCAAAGATGGAATCAGCAGCAGGGATCAGGCCAGGGTAGCAGGAGCGGGGACAAGATATGGTAACAAGAACAAGGAGTAGGAGCCCAACAAAGAAGCAGGGTCTTCTGCTTCTGAAGAACTAGTTGCTCAGACAAAGGGTTGGACAGGAACAGGAAACTTTATACACCATGGTGTCCAATCAGCAGCCTGCTCCTAATCACCGGATGCTGCTGAGTCAGCGGGTGTAGCATCTTTTGGTGGGGCGTTTGCTGCATTTTCCTCCGTGGACTCTGCAGTGTGGTGACACAGAGGATAAAGTTCTTGCTTGGCAACCCAGTTTGAGTTCTGCAGTGCCTAACAATTAGAAAAAGAAATACAGCTATGTAGGAACTGTGCAGGAGGAGCCCCATGACTAACCTCAATAAAGCTGCTTCCGTCGAGCCTCTTTAAGGCTCAATCCTGTGAATACTTGCGCGCATCATGCTGACGTGGAGCTGGATTGTCCAGAGCCCTCACTCGTCTGTGCAGAGGATTAAGGCCCTTCTTTTTCAACCTTGCTCATTCTGTCGTAGTCCCATTGCATACTCATTTACGCTTCTATACAGTGAGTGTAAAAAGCTACAGTGAGTTCCAGTGAGTGGAGAATTCAGATTTGATAGCATTTTACATCTGCTTTGCACAGATGTAAATGATTATACAAGGTGCAGGATCAAAGAGAACTAGGCCCCTGGTCTTTGTAGTCCTACTGTTGTCACAAGTAATGCCTAAGATTAGTAGAACTGAAAGAAACAAAAGACAGTAACTTTTACAAAACATGAAACTCTATTGTAACACCATAAATATTGGCAGGTGGATACAGGCAACTACTTCCAACTTTTTTTTCTTTTTAAATTGGTGTCCCTTTTAAAATCCTCAGATAGGATTGCTTTTCCACACTGGCAAATCACTTTGGGTCAAATTGTGACCCAGCTAGCACGGCAGTGGTGCAGTGGGCATATGGTCTCTCTGAATCACAGCCTTCATTCCAGGAAAAGCACAACTAATGCACTGCACCATGCTCAGGCCAGACTGTTGTCTTGGAATCTAACCCTTTAGGTGACTGACATCAAATTATGTATTGCATAAACAATCTACCGGGGTTGTTCCTTTATTTTCCTTTTTGGTTGGCCTGAATTCTTTTTTTTTTTTTTTTAAACTAAGAAAAGACTATACTGGGCCCGATCCTGAAGTTGATGGGAGTTTGCCTGCTGAAGAATCGCAGGATTGGTCCAGTGTAGCACCCTGTGTTTTTTAACTCTTTGGGGGGCATAGATACTATTTATCATTTTGTAAGTAAAGTTCATCTGAATTGTTAGAATCCTTAGCAGCTACCGACATTTTTTGTTGTTTTAATTTTGACTCTAGCTGCCTTTCTTGTGTTCTTCCAAAAGACCATGGAATCCTAAAATAAACCATCACAAGCAGGAAGTAAAACTGACTGTTGTAGCCAGAGGACAATAAAGATGTGAAAGGAAAAGTTTATGGCATACAGAATGTTCGTGATGGATAAATATAACAAAAATGTTCTGAAATTCTTAAGCCTCATGATGAACTGATGCATTAATTTGGTGTTTGGCTACGGCACAGTTACATCTTCAGAATATCTCATTAATACCAGGCTGTTGTTTACTGGCTGACCATTTCCTAAAACTGAAGCAGCAGGCACAATTCCCAAGAGATGAAAACACAGCACTTCCTTGACACATTAGTCTCTACCAGCCAATGGAATGGGATTCCCAAGATTGTTTTTAAACCTGGGGTCTGCATGTTCTGCAAGCAGACAAGCTTGAACAGGAATCTAATTAAAAGAAGTCCAAGACATCGAATAAAGCCCACGAGCTCCATCTGTTCAGTTTTAAAACCAGAAATTAACCAGTGAAGCATAGAAATTCACTTGATTGTTTTGGCAATTTCACTGGTATTGTTTAATCACTACAACTGCTAGTCCACATCACAAGAGTTATGCAGAACCTATTAGTAGTAATAACCAGTTTGACCTTATTAATTATGCCATCACATTATGTTCAGGAGATAAAAGAAGTGGTTTAAAGTCTAATCCTATGAGTGTGGCACTGATATCCCTGTGGGTCCTGTCCTGAATAATTGTCTTTATACTGCCTGTAGCTTGTTTGTGTCTTAAGGAGGGGCATGACTACCAAGTTCCTGATTAGTATCAAGTCATGCTCCTGACTGATAAAGGGCCTGATCCTGTAAGGTGCTGTGTGGTCTCAGCTCCTAATGAAATGAGTTGACAGCACGGTGTAATTCTCAGGACACATTCAGCACCTCGTGGACTTCTCCCTCTCCCCATACACAGTTTTGAACATGTAAGATTCAGAAAACTGAGCTAAGCAGAAGAGCACGTTCATTTGAGAGAGAGAGAGAGAGAGAGAGAGAGATGGGTATGATGATAGTAAAATTCTTGCAATGTTTTGACATAAGGTACTTCCAGAAAAGGTGCCCTAGCACCAGAGAATCAGCATCTTCTGATTTTTGTTACGGGTTCTTTATAAAGCACAATTTAGGGATGGTTTATATGTATGTTTAATGTGTTAAAGAATGTTAGGCGTGGATGTTTAACATCAGTGTGAACTATGGCTCAATGTAGTTGGC